GTTAACCCGGGACCCAACATCAGCCACTTCGCCTGCGACATCGCCACGGGCGCGAACGTCATCGTCCACTCCGATCTCGTCCTCATCTCTTCGCCAAGTCGAGCGAACACTTTATTGGCGCTCGGCGTATCGGCGTTCCTCGTCGCATTCGGAATAAGGGTCGGACGGTCCCCTTGAGCAACGCCATGTTCTTCTTCATCTTCTTCATCGTCCGCTCCTTCGTCGAGCTCGGCGGATAAGTTGCGCTCGACAGGACGTGGGACTCCCATGCGTCCCACCTGCAGCGTCAACTCTTCCACCTCGCCAAGTAGCTCGGCGGTAGTCTTCGTTTCTCCGAGCTCAGCGGTCTCGGCCTTCTCTTCATACTCTCCTTCACTTGCATCTCCGTTCTCGCTCTCCTGGTCTTGGCCATCCTCGTCGAACTGAACGGTTCGTCCCACCCCCATCGTCATGGCGATGAGTCGTTGATCCGCCGGGTCCGACCCCGCGAGAGGCGATCCTCCAGCCGTCGCTGGGCTTCCGTCGCTCGGAGTTGCTGATCCCTTGACCATCTTCACTCTTCTCTTTCTCTTCTCTTCCTCTTAACTTGGCTAGCTGGCACCTATAAAAACAAGCACACACTCCTGTTCCCGGGTCGCGGCACCAGTTGTGGTGTAGTAGAACACACAAATACCGTCAGATGTGGATTCCTTACACAAACCACAACGAATCGCCGAGTTAGGTCGGCGGTTGTATGGCCTGCGCAGAGGGTGGTCCCCTCGCGGTCCGGCCCTTCCGGGACAGACGAGTGGCTCGCTTCCACTCGGTTCCGACTAACCAAGTCAGATCACTTCCGAGGCTCCGCCGAGTTTAGTTCGGCTGAGCTCGTTCACAACCCTGTGCCTTCCACCAAAGGATGGACGACGGCGCGCGAGCGCTTTTACAGGTCACCGAGCGCAGAGGCAGCTCAGCTAGAAGTGTTACGGCACCCGGGCTATCCGACGTACCGGCCCGCTGAGTATGCGGGACTTTCTTTCGCGCGTAGCGAGACTTTGTCCTACCCGGACGGACCTAATCTCTTGGCGCTACCAGTCAATACCCTACAAGCTATGCCTCTCGAGTATTGACGGCAGGCATAATACCAGCCCTATGCATGGACTTACCGGAAAAGTGTACACGTGTCTGGGACTAGGAAAATTCTGCTCTGTTATCTTCTGGGGAGCCTTATCGGCTCCCCCTATTTAATCCTATGCTTTTCATACAAATATCTAGTGAAATGTAGTCGTTTCGGATCTCTACCGACCCTTCAGCTGAGTTCCGGCGACCGTTGAGCTCAGCGGCTATCCGGATAGCATATCCGGACAGATCGCCGAGTACTTACCGTGATCCTTTGCGCCTAAGCTCTGGGTTATCAAACCGAGCCGATTCTTGACCTAAAGTAGGTTGGCGTATGGTCGAATCTGGAAATCCCTACACCACACTGTCGCATTTCCTGGAGAGTAAGCAGGCAGTTCTCGGCCAAACACTCCTCCAAAAATTCAAGATGCTGCTCATCTAACTTCTTGTTATACGCGCCGCCCCTCATATCTGGTAAGGACGTAAAGTCCCCCTTCTGCTTTGCGCGCCGCACCCAACGTCGCGCTGTCTCCAACTCCACGCCGTTGGGCTTCGCAGAGAGGCGCCAATTTCCCCCTTGTCTTGCTTCTTCCAGCACTCTCGCGCGCTCCTCGTAGGTGTAAGTCTTCCCCATGAATAAATTGCCGAAATGAACGGCGCTGGGCAATTCAAATCTACCCTATGGTCATTTCGAAACACACTTTCGGCCGACTGTTCTAGAAAGTATACACCTCAAGTATACATGCCCTTTTTTCACCGGTTGTTTTGGATCGGACATTTGGGAAGAACGACCCGCAAAAGATGTAGCTGGTAGACAAAATGGCAACCCCGAGACGGTGATTGTCGACCATTCTGTAAGCTTCTGCGCCTCCATTTGGCTCTTCTGACTTTCTTCTCGCACTCCAGGTGAAACGTGCACCTGTACACAAATGTCTGGCGTCCTTTGGAGCGCACAAACGCGAGCTGGTACACAACGTGAGAGCCAGATGGCAGTAGTGCAATAGCGTTACGTGCCCTGTCGTGTGTTGAAGGTGACGAGATGGCTTCAAACGTACGCTCAAATGATGAATAGTTGCCTTCTATTTGATGTCTAATTTTTTTCTATAGAAGCCTTATAACACGCCATCCTCGAGCTCTTGTCGGGAATAGTCGATTTCGACAAACGTGCGCACAGATGTGACCGACGAGACGTCGTCGTGTGTAGTGACTAATAGGCACTACCGTAGAGCCGCTGTGCATTACGACGATAAATGCAATTACAATAGTACAGTATAATAAGTGCCGCCACGGCCGGCCACTCGTCCAGAGATACATACAGTGCTGGCGGTTAGTAAACTGCCACCCTTGTTTTCTGACAGATTTTATCCAATAGGAGGCTTTATTGTACATGGATTTGACTAATGAAAAGCGCGCAGTAAACCGAAACGGACGCCACTCGACGCAGGTCAATCGGCCAAGTAGGCTTGCTGCAATCGTGAAAAAGGTGAAGTTGAAGTTGGCCTCGTTGGCGGTTACTATACTGCCAATTCGACTAAAGGGATATCTACAGCTAGTTAGACGCTAGTATTGGGTTCAGTACTTCGTCTTAGCACCGTGACGCTCTAGCGTAGCGATGCAGCGCCTCGGCATCGACTGAATCAGCTTTTTAATGAGGTCGTGTCCGATCGTCGCCCAAGATGCCTGAATTGTTTTAATGAGGTCTTCTCTCGTCTGAAACTGCCGTCCTTGAGCGTAGACGGCACGCGCGAGTACTCCCCACATGTTTTCGATGGGATTAAGGTCCGGTGACTTGGCTGGCCAGTCCATCACATCGACCTTTTCCTCCTTCAAAAACGCCTTCGTGGCGGCTGAGGAGTGAATGAACGCATTGTCTTGCTGAAAAACGCAGTCCCGACCGTACACTCGGTCAATGAAAGGCAGCAAATGTTCAGAGAGCGTGTAAATGTACCGCTCGCTGTTTTGATTGCCCTCCAAAATCACCAGTTCAGACTTACCACTAGCACAAAATGCAGCCCAGACCATGACACTCCCACCACCACTTTGGCGAGTAGAGTAGACTTCAGGTTCGCGGCGCAAATCGTGCCAATAGTACTGCATACAATCCGGTCCATCGAGATTAAACTTCTTTTCATCTGAAAAGACGCAGGCTCCCCATTTTTCCTCACTCCATGTCACCTTGTCACGAGCCCATTTGAGACGAGCCTCCTTGTGCTTATTTGTTAGCACGGGGGAAGCTTTACGCTTTTCATATTTCATGTTAGGGTCGGCTTGTAGGATTTCACGGATCCGCCGTGTACTTACCGGTAGCTCTAAGGCCATTTTGAGCTCGGCAGAGCTCAGCTTGCCGTTCGAAGCTTCACGGAGCAGTCGGCGGTGAGCTGTCGGTGTCAACTTCTTGGGTTGTCCGGGTCTTTTAGATTTCGTGTAGCCCTTTGGATCGGTTAGGAGTGCGTGTACAACTGGTCGAGAGCGACGTACGCGCTGCGCTATTGCTCGCTCGCTTAGCCCTGCCTCGCGAAATGCTATTATACGATGCTGCTCTTCTTGGGTGAGCTTGGTTCCTCTAGGCATGCTAGTAGTACCTTTACATGCACAAACGTATGTTAGTACACTTGTATAGTGCTGGACATCGTTATATTAGAAGAACACGCCAAAACAACGCGTCCTTGGCTGCAAAATACGCACCGGCAGTATACTAACCGCCAGCCTCCTCAAGCAAGGGAGGCGTTTTTTTCTGTGGTGGGGGGAGGAAATGGCCGAATGACCTGAATCGAGTGGCGTCCGCTTCGGTTTACTGCGCGCTTTTCATTGGTCCCAAGAACGTGCAAAAAAACCTCGCATTGGATAAAATCTGTCAAAAAACAAGGGTGGCAGTTTACTAACCGCCAGCACTTGTATCTATACTTTTTCATTATCCGGACGGTATACATTTGATTTAAACTCGAAAAAAATACTAGAGATTCATTCTAAAGATTTGAAAACACTCCAAAATCATCCGTTTTAAGGAGATCTTGCGAGCCACACCACGGATGAAGTTTCCATTTGCCGGGACGAATTACTCCGCTCTGTCACGGTGTATAAATTAACATTAAAGCTTTGAATAATATTTAAAATAGCTTGCAAACCCAATTCTTTCCTAGGCTGCACTCAGTTTAGAACGCACCGCGGATGTGGTCGACATCCTACGGCCAAAGCAGAGTGGATATCTGTATCTTTTTGTTCGACTGGCCATAGGCTTGTTGACCAACTGCAAAATAATCACCTTCTGGAAGTTCTCTGACCCCAATTGTTTTGGATCGCAAGATACGATTTGTTTGAATGTATCAAAGACTTGCAGTGATAGGTGGGCAAGATCTCTCACTGAGGAAATGATACAGCAATGTGCTCTGGACTCCAGAGTCTGAATATCAGCGTTCAAAGCTTGGAAATGATAAAAAAACTCAAAACAAATTGAACCCAACAGTAGGATTCATCACGAACATTCTTACTTCAAGTGCGTCCCATAATCGGCAAAAACTCCTGATGTAATCCACGGTGGGCGGTAAGATCGATTAAATGGGACCCGAAGACCGAGAAGCGACTCAACCATCTTCAAGATCGCATTACAAAGACTCATGTCGATGTTACCATGGTCTACAAAGGCTACTGGGAGTTTGTATGGAGTAAGCAAGTATTGCTAGAGCAGAGAAAAATACAGCAGAGAAAATCCGGTTCTGCAACCCGGCCACACAAAGAGGGTTTTACGTATAAAAATCGATATGTTGCTTCCCATTGACCTTTGTCGATAAAAATCCTCTAGATTAAAATCGTCAAATGGCAAAAAGTCGGCGACCGTCACTCTCCAAGTTGCCGGTTGGTCACAACGCCACGATTGTCGACTGCCGCAACGTCCGCCATTCTCCATCATGACGACTGTGGAGGCTGCGTGGGTGCGCAACTCATCGGTCAATATGGCCTGGATGTACACGTACTGCTTCGCGCTCTTCTTCTCGTGCAGCATGACCATGTTGGCTGCGTACCACATGCGCAAACTGGGCGGCGACATGTTCCGTTCCACCGTTCGATTCGTCATCGCCATGTTTCTATTCTGCAGCACACTACACGCCTTAGCGGGCGGAGTTTTCTACGCCTACTTGATCAACGCCATCAGCAAGGTAGTGCACCAAATGAAGCACGCCTCGGGCCCAGGCTCCGACCAGACACAAGCCGAGGTAACAGTGGGCCAATTACTTCACAACGACAGCAAAGACGACGGCGGGGAGGCCGCATATATCACGAAGCTGACACAGGACGATGTGCCTTTAAGCACGGCACTGACAGCGCTCTTGCTGACGGAAAATCTGTTCTTTATCTTAAGTGCGTATTGGATTTTTTTACTCTCGCGGGAATTATTTAAACTCGCCATGCGAACGCTGGACCGAGGCGAACAGAACGAAAAGGCGACGATTGTCAAGTACGTGTGGCGTGGATGGGTGATTGTCGGGTTATTTCTCGGCGCTGGCCTCGCAATAGTAATTATCCATGATGGCTACAACCGCACGTACAAATATTTGAGCTTTGTGGAACTCGGAGGGCTCATCTTCGCGGTATTTTACGCAACAGGAGCTCTCGTGGTGCTCCGGTTCTCAGGACGGAAGCACGAACATATTCACGGGGTTGTCATGGCGTCGCCACTGTATCGAAGACTGAAACTTTTGATCATTGTGTGTGCCATTTTCACTTTGCCATACTGTTTCTTGCAATTAGCGTTGCTAAGTATGCCACAGGATGAAGTAGACGCCATTCCAGATTATCTGGTGGGCATTGTGACCATGTTGTATTATCTATTCGGTGCGGCACAGGCACTTGTTATGGGTGGGAGTCAACAGTGTTGCATCCGAATGTTGTCTCCAATTATCCCAACACACGTGAAAAACTCGCCGGAATGGGCAAATCTACGTGCCAACCGAAGACACGACTCGTATGCAACATACGAGGCCACCGCCCCACCGGACAAACCGGTTTTCGTCAACACAGATATTGAAGGGTCGAGTGCACTTTGGGCCCAAGCCCCAGAGTCCGTCATCGACACGGCCCAAGATCTCCACGACGACTTGTTGCGCTCCTTACTACCCAAGTATAATGGGTACGAAATAACGACTGCTGGTGATGCGTTCCAATTGGCATTTCACAAAATTTCGGATGCTGTGAATTATTGCCTCGAGGTCCAGTTGCAGTTGCTAAACGTAAAGTGGCCGTCCGAGCTCGAGGGACTTGTGCCATCTGTGAAAACTGAAGTGACAATTGGTCTCAAGCCTCAGCTGCTTTTTCGCGGAATCCGAGTGCGTATGGGTATCCATGACACAAATGTAGGAGAGGAAGGCAACTTAATCATGCAGACACATCGCGTGACCGGCAAAGCTCTCTACATCGGAGCTTCGGAGTATATCTGCCGTGAGATCGGCGACGTCGGTTTTGGCGGACAGATAATCGTGTCCAGACGCGTGGCTGCGTGGCTCCAGACCACCAACAACGCGTCTAGGATTAAAACGCCGTTCAGATTGGATTATTACGGCATGCACCCGGTTAACCAGCTCGAAATTGACATTGAATTGTACGAAATCACGCCAAAAATCCTGAAAATGCGTCGCAAAATTTTTCGCAAGCGGTTGGAGATCAAAGAAGGAAAATTCAGAGACGAAAGTGTTCGTGGCACAGATACAGAGGAACCGACGCCCGAAGATGAACATTTAGGAATGGAATATTCATGCCAACGCACACCCACAGCGAGATTTCGCGAGAAAATGCCGACTGTGATTTGGCAAACAATAGGTGACAGATAGAGAATGCATATCAAATATTTATTCGAACGATTTTATCCTACACGTTTTTTTTTGCATTTTTTTTTACTTTCTAAACGGTCGCTCAGCAGTTGCGCGGAGTTGCATGAAGGCTTGTTGCATCACGATGCGCTCTACAGCCGAGCACAGCTTGTTGAGCGCAACAGTATCGCGCTTCTTGTGCTCCGTGATGAGTAGTCGAAGTCCCGCGACGAGCAAATCACGGTTCTTCTGAGATTCGGCTTCAAACAGCATCACAGCCTTGCCATTGTCCAGGATAAATGCCACTGAGGCGTCCACTTCTTCCTCTTCGACCATGTTTGCGAACAACGCACACTCGTCGGCCACTGAAGCTGACACACGACGCAAATTGTGTAGTAGCAGTCGCGCTGCTTTCTTCTTGCTGTCGACAGACCCAGTGTCTCTGGCACTCATGAAGCTCACGTAACGAGAGTTCGATGACTCAAGTAGCAGCGCACGGTGCTTCACAACGCCAGCTGACGGGTGATATTTCAACTGAAAGCCCTTCACCATGAGCTTTTTAAAGTGATCGAGCACCTGTTTGGCCTTTTCGGTACGACTTAATGTTGTTGCCTTCTCCTGTGTGTCACAATCTCCTTTTGCCTGGTTCTTTGGTTCTTTCTCCTCCGCTCGAGAAGCTGATACATCTATTTTCGATTCTGCAAAAGTCAGGTCGGTGAGGAGTGAAGGTTGACGCAAATTATCACTGGGTGTAGTGTAAGCTAGTCCATGTTGCAACTTGCCCAGAGCTTGTTGAACCAGTTGTGCGGCTACAAATTGTTGGCTTTGTGCGACGACGTCCGAGCTGTTCCGTAGCGCGATAACGGCTGTGTCCTTGCATACCTGAACCATTTTCTCTCCAGCTCGACGCTTCAGGTCGGCAATGGTGAAGTCGATGACTTGTTCGTGTTGCTGAAAAGCAGGAGCCAGCCATTTCTGGTGAAGCAACAGTGCACCGCGATAAGATGGCAGCACAAGCCACGCCAGAGCCACGATCTTGGCCTCCAGGTAGAACGGCACCCACGAAATGACAGTGTCGCCCACGGTTTCAGCCACCCAGAAAATTGCGTTCACCGTCCTGACATTTCGGTGCAGCACAAACAAGCAACACATCGTTAATGAAAAAGTCTAGCACCGAAAAAGGCAAGTTTTTCAATCTTACCAAAAAGTGATCCATTGCAGCAACTCTTGTTCACGACGGGTGCGCAACGCTTCAACCGACGCGTACAGCGGGTAGATGTAGCCCAGACCCATGCACAGCTGCCGAGCAGCGAATTGCCCCACAAGCACCATGCTTTTGCACAAGGAAAAGTCGGAATGAAAATGGCCCACGACGGATAAGGCCAAAAAAATCAACATCCAAGTTGCATCCAACCGCCGGCCAAAAATACTGAAGACTGAAAGATGCTGCATAGTTGACTGAGACGCTCTGGCTCTAGTAGTTTTGACCAATCACCTAATTAGGCAAAAACGTCACTGTCCAATCCCGTGCTAGCATCTCTTTATCATTTTTACCTTTTTGGCGTCAGCTTACATTATTGAACATCACCGCCATGGACGCTGCTGTGCTTCATCGGCGGCTGCACATGGGGATGGAAGCAGCCTCGACCGAGGAGGAGACTGCCTTGGCACAGGCGTCGACCATCCAGCTGGCGCTTGCAGGCATGTTGTTTGGTCTCATCCACGTGCTCACAGGGCCCGATCACCTCAGTGCATTGGCAACTCTGTCCGCTGGGTCTTCATGGCGCTCATTTGCGCTGGGAATCCGTTGGGGATGTGGTCACAGCATCGGACTGGTCATCATGGCCATTGTCTTTATTGCATTGGACGGAAAACTCGATTTTTCGGTGCTCAACGTAATTACAGATGTGCTTGTGGGCGTCTTTATGATCGGACTGGGTGTGTATGGCGTACATGAAGGCATTAAGAAGTCTAGACAGAGCAGACGACGAGGTGCCAGTCGCAGGAAAAGAAACATTATCCGCGACAAGAATAATACGCAGGAGAGTGAGAGCGAAGACGATGACGCCGTGAGTGACGGCACCGAAAATGAGACCGAAATGGAGACGGACGCAGTGGCAACTCCTAGTCGCACTTTGCTAAAGGAGGGGACGTCCAAATCGGAAGAAGTGGTGGTGAAATTTAGCGATGACGAAGAAGTGGCATCTGCCCGACGCAGGAGGTTGGAGGCGTTAAAGAAGTCGAAAGCTGAGGAATCTGATGACCAAGAGGACGCCGTGATGGTTGACGTGGAAATGTCGCCAAAGTCAAGACCGCACTCGGCAAGTGTGGACACGATCTCATTGGACAATAGTCCGTGCGAGAGTGTCGTGGCACTGGAGGAGTTGCTGTCCGAGCGCAGCCCGACTAGCGAAGAAATGGAATCTGATATTGACAGAACTAAGCAGGAGACTGGACCCATGTGTTGCGGCTTCAAGTTGCCTACGATCGATTTCCAAAACGCCCAGACACAGAAGGTAAAGTGCAAATATTCGGATGACTAAAGACGGACACTTTTTCTTACTTTATTTTTTACATTTTTAGTGTACTGCGTTAGTTGTGGGAATTGTGCACGGGATCGCGGGACCTGGTGGCATTCTCGGTGTGTTGCCGGCTGTGGGGCTGCATGACACAGTCAAGTCGTGCATATATCTGGGCTCTTTCTGTATAACGTCCATCGCTACTATGGGTTTATTTGCCGCCGCGTACGGCGAGGCCACGGGCAGACTAGGTGAACGCTCGGAGCTGTTGGCTTTCCGCACTTCTATCTTCTCGTCCATGCTCTCGGTGGTCGTGGGTATTGTCTGGTTAGTACTAGCAGCCATTGGCAAACTGCAGGAGGTCTTCGGCTGAAGAGAATAGTGTATGCAAGTGTATTGAAGAGCGCGATTGAAGGTTCATATAGATTTTGTCGTTTTGTGTGTCGCGTCGCAGCGTCATTTATCTTGCGCCTGAGCGCTTTCCAGGCCCTGAACCAGGCTGTTCGACTTTCCACGTGGCAGTTCTTCAAACACTCAAGTCTTCTCCCAAGGCTTGGCTAGGCAACAGTCACTCCTTTGAGCTTGCGTTTCTGTTTAACCTCCTGTTTATTCCTTATCAGGTTCCTCAGTGGCAACGAGATCTTCAGCAGCAGACTCCTCCTTCTTGTCTTCCGTCTTGTCATCTTCTTTTTTGTCGCCGTCAGTAGTATCCTCGTTTTTGTCCTCCTCCTTTGCTGTAAAACATTCACTATTTGTCAACCCGCTGTTTGAACCCATTCAAAGCACGTCATCACACTCACGATTCTCGTCCTTGGTCTTCCAGTAGTCGTCCATGTCGCCGTCCAGCTTCTTGGCTGCGTGCTCCTCTGACTTGCCCCAGTATTTGTCCATCTCGGCGTCCAGCTCTTCAGCTGTCTTGGGCTTGGGTTTGTCGCCACCCCGACGGCCCCCACGGCCTCCCTTTCCTCGGCCCTTGGCCTCGCCACCACCTCCACGACGACGGTTGCGTCCTTCGCGCACTCCCTCGTAGGGCGTGGCTCGGTTTCCACCGCCGTTGCTGTTGTTGCGTCCTCGTCGTCCACGCGCCATAGTCGGATACTAAAATGCAGTACAAAAGCGGAGTGGTTGGATTACCTCGAATTTTCGCAACATCGACTTTGGCGGGGCTTGTGTTGCGTTCCACGAATTGACCATCACTCCTCCACTTCCCTATTATCTCCGACCTTGGATTATCATGCTTCCGTCCCCATTTTCTGCATCACCTTGCCGGACGCTGCCACATTTAAATTCACCGCAAGGGGCAACTGTTGCGTGCTACAAACACTCTACGCAACAAGCCAACGCAACATGCCGAGAAAGCCGAGATGTCGCGCCATCAAGTTCAAGCCATTGTCGCCACCCAGAGTGACCCGTAGCCTCTCCAACCAGCGCCTTAACGATGCTGACAAGACTGCCATGGCTCTTCTCATATCCATAGCGTGCAAGACCCATGCAACTGGCAAGAAATACGGGTCAAGGAGCTTCCGCGAACCAGACGACGACCGCAAGCTCGCCTCGCTCCTTGCCTCGGCCCTCAAGATCAACCTGGCGCAGACCAGCTCACCACCAATGGCTGATGCAATAAGCACAACACCATCTTGGGCGACACCTGCTTCTCCACTGAAGCCCCCGGCAACTGTGGCCTCGACATTTTCCCCGATGTCGAAAGGCGAGAACGAAAGTCCCAAGCGTAGGAAACGCGAGCCCATCAAGTTGCCACCTGGCGCTGGCGCAAAACTAAGTACCAAGGACTTGAAACGTTTGAAAAACCGAGTTTCGGCCGCACGCGTACGTCAGCGCTCGCAACAGTGCGTCCTGGCGTTGCAAGACCAACTTGAGCACTATCGATCGCGCTGTGAATTCTTGGAAACTGTGGTGTTTGGTTGCACCACATGCGCAAGCCTCAGCACGGCGCAGCTTGGTGATATCGAGCTTCTGCCGGCCGGGTTCAAGGTCAAAATGGAGACGAAGGATGAAGAAGATCTTGGCGACGACACCTCAATATTTCTCACGGAAGCCGAGTGCGTTGTGCTCCACGACGTACTACACAACCGATAATCTCAGCACAATACATTTTCAATCTGTATGTCAAATTAATCTTGTAACAAAATACAAGCAATTTTACGTGAGTGGAAACTGAAGGATCTTGGGGTTGCATCGAATCAAAATGTGCCATCTGTCGGCAACTTGTGCTCTTCATGTAATACTACGAAGTATAAAATAAAGAAGGTTGTCACAATAATGTTACCGTTTGTTATTGCTGTTGCAACTTGCAACTTGCAAAATGGCATCCAATTTACTTCATATCACTTGCTGCTGAAATTCGAATCAAGAAGATCTGTGGATATTGCTTGGGGGCTAAGGCAAGGCTAGTTGATATATATAAAAGAGTTATCCAACGCAAACGCTTTCTCCGCTATCCGAATGCACTTATCCAATGCGCACAATGACATCTCGTGGATGCGTCCGCCTACATAGACATCACACGGTTGTTAAAACTTGCTGGTTCCAAGTGAACTTCACGTCAACGCACAACGCAGCTACAGAATCTCGTACATATCGGCTGCGCTGGAGACATTCGACAAGCCACGTTGCTTTTGTACCGCCTCCACTGAAGAATCCAGTAAGGGGATTTCCTCACTGTTCTGTTGGTCGTGGTCCATCAAGAAGCTGTCTTGGATCCAGAACTGCACCATATTCATGACCAGAGGACAGCCAATCATGACGATTAGAAGTTCGATTTTAGGGTGGTTGTGCACAGGGTAGAACAGTAGTGCTCCCATCCAGCCCAGTGGGGTCGAGAAGGCGTAGAGCACCACACCAACGAAAAACTTCATGATAATTAAGATGGTGCACCACTGAAGCAGCTGAATCCACCAGACTCGCCACGATGGCGGCGAGCCGTAGTATCCGTGGCATCGCAGACTCGTCCACTGTTGCCGCACTGCTACGAGAGTGGACAGTTGCAACAGTAAATAGGCGATGTACACGCCGAGAGTTGTGTCGATTACAACGTTCATGAAGTAGAAGGCACACTGCAGTTATGATAGATAATTTGTTAGGTTAGAAAGCGTTGTGTTACATCGAAGTCGTGTCTGTCGTACCTGATCCTGGTCGCTGGGAGTGTCCGAGAAGTCGACGAGCCCGATGGCGTACAGGATGTTCATGACGTGGATCATAGCGGCCGACGTGCCCTGCTTCATGGCATCGAAGAACCAGACTTTGGCTGGCCGTCGCGGACGTTCAAAGTGCCATTTGGCGTACAGTGAGGACAGTGCGATGAAGCCTAGCAACATTTGCACGGCATCATCGGTGCGATCGGCCACAAGGGTGCAACTTGAGCTCATCGTATCGGAGAGAATCTGCAAATGAGGCAACAGTCGTTTTCAAAGACGTTTTGGCTGTTTTTCAAGAATCATAACTCTTTCAAGAGTCATGATTGGTGGAAAAGGTGACATTGGCGACAAAATGTCTCTTGACCAAGACTCGCACGTAGATTTCAAATCTAAGATTTGTATGAACGTTGCCAAAACTTGCGCCTGCCGCGTAGCATGCTGACAGGCGCAAGCTTTGGGTTCAAGTTCATTGTATGGTGCAGGTTACTAAACTGCTCTAGTGTGCTAAAGATCGTCGCAAATAATTGGTAGAACCCGCTAAAAGCTCATTTTCTGTAAGACCTAGATGTCGCACATCATCTTCAGTATTCGAAAAATGGCCCCGTTTTATGTCAATTCGAAAGTGACAAAAATATTCAAAGGCCAGCACTAAAAAACAAGAAGCCCCGTATTTTGACAGAACGTCAGGAAGCCATGCATGGACGCGTTAAGAGCGTGGAGCGCGAGAAGGAGCAGCACAAGACGGATGCGCAGCGCCAGGAGGAGCTCTCCAAGGTGCGCATGTACCACGAGGTGGCGGGTAAAGTCCTAGACATGAAGCGTCAGCAGCTCTACGAGCCAAGCGTCCTACCACTGACCAGCCACCTATTGCTGCTCAACCCCGAGTTCCACGTGGTCTGGAGCTACCGCCGTCAAGCCATCGACGCGCTAGCTCAAAAAGCCGAGAACCCCGAGGCTGAAATGCTGACTATGGCCAAAACGGAGCTCAAACTAACGCTGGTACATTCGATTTTCAGCGTATTTTACGTTTAATCGCTGATATTAACACTATGTAAACGTTGCAGGACGCACTGCAACGTAACCCCAAGTCGTACTCTGCGTGGTTTCAGCGCCAATGGATCATTGACAGAGGACTGGGCGACCTGAAGATGGAGATCGGACTGTGCGACAAGCTGCTGAATCTAGGTAAAACCATGTTGTTTAAACATTTTTACTTTTGTATACTAAACTTGTTTTTAACTAGACGAACGCAATTTCCACTGTTGGAACTACCGTCGACATGTGTGCAAACTGGCTGGCGTTTCTAAAGCCGAGCAGCTGGCCTTCACCACGCAGAAAATCGAGCAGAATTTCTCCAACTACTCGGCTCTACACCACCGTAGCATTACCCTGCCAGAACCGTTATCTGCCGACGTGCTATTTGATGAGATCGGACTGGTCCAACAAGCGGTATTCACCGAGCCAGACGACCAGAGTGCCTGGTTCTATTACCGCTGGTTGCTGACGTCCATGGTGGAGCTGGTCGAGTCGTCTGCCGAGGACGCAAGTGGGTTCCTGAAGAGCCAAGTCCAGTGGCTAAACGAGTTGTTGGAGATGGAATCGGAAGCCAAGTGGGTTGTTGTCACACTTGCCGATCTGCAGTTTCGTCTGAGTGTTATTACCGATGTGAGTGGCTGGGAGGAAGCGAAGAAACGCAGTGTGGGACTCTATGACCGCGCCATCGCCCTGGATCCGGACCACCGCCACTACTATGAGGACATGAAGAAGAAACACGTCTGAATAATTAAAAAAAAGTAGTAGTAGTAGAAAAAAAAAAGTGCAACGAGAGAATTGGGGAACGTAGAGACAAGCTATCTTGTTTTGACTTCGATTGATACATGTATTTGTCATGCTCCATGCCATTCGTTCAGCAAGTTCAATCTAACGCACCTCCACATTTTCACGAAAGTTTTTGTAGCCGTTTTTGATGTACGAGATAAGGCTCTCATCTTTCTTAAGTTTCTTCATGGCACTCACGACTTCAGCTTCTGATAATCCCAATCCCTTCCAGACGGCAAGCGCGTCAAAGTACTTCTTGGCGTTCCCGAGCATGTCGTCATACAGCTGGGAAGTTTCCAGCCACTTCGTCCTCATTGCTTGAGCAGCTTCTGGCGCTGACACCGACCGGAAGCTTCGAGCTCGAGCCGAGAATAACTCTCTCCTCTTTAGCCTTGTTGGTGATAACCTTTTCAAGTGCACAGAGAGATGCCCCCTCAACTCTCGCGTTTTCAGTGTGATAGTGCATAGCAGTATCGGGTGTTTTCGAGTTGGTCGTCTTGCTAGCAGCGAGCAATGTATTGCTATTGTTGACCAGAATGGCTGCGGTAGTTAAGAGCGAGGCAGAGGAGAGTCGCATGCTTGTTCCAAAAACGGAGTGAACTGCTTGAGAGATATAAGGGGAATTGCTCATTGAGCCCGAAATACGGTTTCAAAATCGCGTCTGGCTCATTGCTTCTCGTACCAATACTTCGTTGGTTAGTAGTCACTGCTTATTAATGAATACCGGTAAAATTGAATTACCTGGCATTATTAAAACATGTACTGTACAGTACCGGAAGAACTCAAAACATGTCCCACCCGTCATCAAGTAAGAAAAACGTCCGCGTGCACGTCATCATGGATGCCCTTTACAACGTTCACGCCATGAATGAGGCGTGAACGTTGCACGTATATATTGTTACTGATCAGTAACACTACACTGTACTTCTAGCAAGCGGTAACTTTCTAAAAATCATACACCGAAGTACTTCGTACCAGAACCGCAGTGTCACTGCGTTTAAAAAAAATACTTGCTATAAAACATCTAATGGCATGCCGATAAGTAGTAGCTCACCATCCTTCGGCAACCTAATGGTTGCCTATTACTGTGTTGGGATTTCTGGTAGCCCTTTCGGCCCTTTTCGGGGCTACTCCACAATATCAGAGCCGACACAAGGCAACATGTGCGTTTTATCAAACACAGTAACGTTTTCCTATAAGCTCTCACTATCGTTTATATGTTTTTCCTGAATCTGACCAGGCTGCTATGTGAGCGGAAAAGAAAACTGCTTCCGACTTACTTGAGCTTTGCAAAAGATCTCGGGTGGAAGCAGTTTCCGCGTCCCGAAACAAAAAAAGCATTCAGCTCTGGATAACATGACAAAATTGCAGCGCATTATAAGTTACTACACAAATAAAAAAAAAACATTTTTTGTAGGTCCGACAATATATTTTATAAAAACAGCCTTGGGAGCAAAAACGAAAAAACGAGGCCATATCGAAACTACCATACTCTTACGACAAGACTGAAATTACTTGATGCGATTAAAAGTGCTTTGTCAAGATCAAATATACTAAACAAGACCAGAAATACTGCGACAAGGCTCATACTACTCTCACTGCAGATGTGACGGGGTCGCACAGCACCTTGTGCAAAGAAAGTGCTATAGGGTAAAAACTACCCGAGTGACCGTTAATTTATGTGTTCTCGGCCACAAAGGGAACGGTTTGCTACTTAATAGAGTAGATGTGAGACTGATTTACTGAAAAGTAAGCTTAGCTTGGGTTCAATACAAAAAAAAGAGATTACCTTCAGTGGAGCTAAGTAGTCATGTCCTGACTGGCTCCTAGAGCACCTAATACCAGGTGACCACAAGAGTGACGGGTCACTCTTTTTGCAATCTGTGGGTACACTGGATTGTACCCCATTAAACCCCCCACCTAACTGAGAATCACCTAATTCTCCAATCACAACTGATTCTCCAATCAGAAGTGAAAACACCTAAAGGTGAAATCTCACACTGAGCAGCCACGAGACTCTCGCGGCTCTCAGTCACACCCACAGTGACTTGTGCTTCCAAAGCTCACTGGGATTTGCATACTATGCTCACAGCTGTGTTGGCCGCAAAGCCTACACTCAGAGCTGTTAGCCCCTGTGCTAGCGCGCGTACAGTGCTTTGGCACAGGCTGCAATAGCATCTGAGCGTGTGGCATTCGCCCACAGCTGGCACCAGGAATCGCGAACGCGTCCAGAGCATGGTGTCTTCCGCGAGGGACGACACTGAGAAGGGCAACACCTCCTCCGCACTAGAGGGAGATCTCAGCTCACCTCGGTCCATGCCTTTGGCTCCAGCAATGGTCCATCTTGCAGGCGGAGCTTTGGCCACGGTCTCTTCTCGTCTTGGTCGTCAAGACAGCGGCGTGTAGGTGTCCTTCATCGACACCATGTACCGTGGTCGTACTCAGTCGTGGTGCAGGTGTCTCTCATCGACACCATGTACCTTCCGGTACTTACCTTTGGTGCGGCACGCCCTCCACAAGGTTGCCATGTTTGGCGGCAACATCTTCTCCTGTGCTGTCGCCTGAGCTGATTCATGGCCAGTTCTCGCATCATGCACGACGCATGTGCAAGCACAGTGTACAGGTTCACGGGCCCGTACACCAAGTACGCTGTGTACGACACGTACCACAGCTACCATAAATGTTCCGTAAACTTCGTGTATGTCATGCACGACGAGTTTATTACGTGGAACCCCCGGCAGGCTGCTCGACAGCAGCCAGTGCCTATGCACGATACGTGCGTTGACTCACAGCGTATACACCCAGAGCGCATCGGGTCATGGTATGGCGCATATCCTTTTCACCCATACCAGTGTCTGTCATTGACACCATGTACCTTGGTGGAACTCGACCGTGGTGGGACACATGTCACCACCATACCATTGCGGCATTAGTGTCTCGCATTGACACCGAGTACCCATGCGGAACCGAGCCATAGTGAGGCAAGCAGCCATCACCACGGTGTCATGCTAGGCGCGGCACCAATTAAGACTGCGGACGCTACCTCGACCACCACTGGGTCAGTTGTGTGTGCACTCGTGCACCACACTTGGGCTATGTCTTCACGGCTCATTATATCGGGCGCGCTGCGTACATCACATACGGCAAACACTTTGTCAGTGAGTGAGAGTTTCAGTTCACCCGGCTCGACAGGTCATTCATGACCAAGGGATCTGTGCGGCGATTGCGCCAGGCCCGCGCTTCGCCTAGTGTGTGGTTGCGTGCACCGACAATACTGCTGATGCGCTCAGCGTTCCCAAGGCACCTAGCACCAGTGACGTCCGTCATCAGTTTGTTATTTTGGCCAGAGCTACCGCAGATCTAGCCCGGCTGTTCGCCTCCAGTCTGCAGTCGATGTACATCGACTCCTGGTT